AGTCAGAGAGACCCCTTTGGAGACTTACTCATTCTCTGGAGAAGATCCCACTCCTCCTGCAGGAATGCTCCGTAGTGCCCTACAACAAAACAGCATAGTATGGGCTGGCACAGACAGACAAGTGGTGACCCTGAAGCTTTCTACACATGCAAGGTTCCAGCTGTGTTCAGTTAACGCACTGATGAACACTCTCCTCTGACCAAACCCGAGCAGCTAAATCATGCTGCCTCCCAGTCCACAGCAGTTTTACAGAACAAGCAAAGCCCCACACCCTGCTTTCATTGATGCTCCCTGAGGCTGGCTCACCAAAGAGGATTCTGACACTGCCAGCTCATGTCCTATTTTCAGGACTCATGGAACTAATCAGGGTCTATCAGCCCTTAAGGCACTGTGAAGCTCAGGCATTAGAATTTTTAGTTTCTCCAGCCTTCCTCCAGCTCAAGCAACCTGACCCCACCCAGAACTGCCCTCCCACAGGCATCCATGCAACCTCCTGCACGTTCTGCAACCTTGATTTTCTAAGACGTTATGACAAAGGAGCTCTGTGCAAGCACCTCTGTAGGGCACTATGGAGAACCCTGAAGAGCAGACATAGAAACATCTATTTTAAGTGAAAATTTATGAAATATTTTGACTGTTTGAACAATCAGAAAAACATGTTCTAGTTCTCTGGTACTTAATCATTCTGGGAAGAAAATTCTGGGTACATGAGTTGATCCAGGAGTACTTTACAAAGCTCTAGTTCAAGCAGCTACATGGAATTCTACTAAAGCATCTGGTTTTGGCTTCAGTTAGTTCAAAGATATGAAACCCAGTACTGGCTAAAGTGGTATAAACATGCCTGATTTCAAAGAACGGCAGCCACTCATCTAAAGGCTGAACATAAGTTAATTGACTGTAATAGGGCAGAGATTAGCCCCTGGTTTGTTCATTAGGAGCTTAGGTTTGTACATAAAGAGGTTTTATTTGCAACAGTTCTGCTTGGGTCATTAAGCATTCAGGTTTGTACATACAGTACCTCTCTTTGCAATCATCTGAGGACAACCCAAATTCAGGTCTATGGCATCACAATAATCCTGAGCCAGCGCTGCAGCCTGGACAAACACTTCCGGGTCATTGGCACAGAACTGAAAAAGACATTCACAAGTAAGAAGTCAGGCAATGGTCAGCTCCATGCACTGGCAAAATGCTACAGTTACACGCCTTCATCGAGGAGCCCATTACAAGAGTATGTGGACAAACACTTTGCGTGGGTCAGATTAAAGGCAAACGGCACGTCTCAAGCGAAGGGAGTATGTAACCTCTGACACTTGCCCAGCTGCAGAGCCACAATTTGAAATGGCAGCACCCCAAAAGCTCAGCATGCCAGATTCCAAAACTCCAAGGTCACGGAAACACTGGATAAATACACAGAGTCATAACCCAATTCACACATGCCAAGGCCTGATGGGGGCAAACACCAGATGGGAAGACACGCTGTCCAGATCCACGTGGGCAGAGCTGATGCATTCTGAATATGCGTAGGTGTTGGGAAAAAAGAGAACGAAGAGATAACTGGCTTTTCAGTCAGCTCTTGACTTCTAGATACCAGTTAACCCCATTAGTTGTCAGAAGTGGATACTGAGTCCACAGAGAACTATAATATACCTTTAGCCAGCTGTGCAGCGGCTCAGGCCAAATGAACACTTCAGCTAACATACAAGACACAACAATTTGTTAAGAACAAAAGAGGTCTGTTGTGCACTGTCTTGGTAAAGAGGGCCCAGTCAGTCCAGGCTCAAAGTTAGGCTTTTTTACAGGTTTTGCAAAACCCACCATGAACAAAACTTGTTCCATACTGACACTGAAATAAAAAGCCTGCTTGGATTTAGACTTCCCCCAACAGGATGTGGAACAAGCACTGAGCACTGCCTGTTCATAGCCAGCTTCTCCACCAAAAGTGAATACCACACTAAGCAAAGACACCATCTGGGATGTTTACAGGGAAAACTAGCCCCATAATGAGCTTGGGCTCAGTCTCACCTGTGCCCAATTTGCTCCCTCCACCTGTCCAACATGTGACTGGCCCCAGGCCTGCTGGGAGATGGATATAAGGGCAGCTTGCAGCCAGAGGGAGTTCAGGCCTCAGTTCCCTACAGGGAGGATGACAACATGCTGTGGAGGCTCCTAAGTAGCCAGTACTGGTTCTCTGAACTACAGAGGCTAAAGAATGGGCCTGTGCAGGGCTTGGTGACCAAGGAGAAGGTGAGTGAAAGCCTGAGAGAGAAACTAAAGCCAACCCACACAGCAAGTGAGTGAGCAAAAGCAATGGGAAGGCCTAAGCAGCTAGCTGCAGTGCATAGGAAGAGCTGGAGCCTGGGAAAGCAGAGGACGGTGCTTGCTACAGCTCAAGGCTGCTCTATGGAGGTGGGTCAGACATCCCTGTAGGAAGGAAGCTGGGCCCTAGGGGAGGTCAGTTTAAACCCCTTCCAAAACCATGTGGGGAAGCTGTACCCCACAGGGTGCTGTCCAGCCCCTTGGCTGGACGTGCAGAGATGAGCTGCGTGCTCTGCTGGGCTAGGCACGGTCCTGCTGCCACACGGGAGCTCTGGGTTTAAAAATCAAAATGTCCCTTTCTAATGACTCCCTGGGCGTGACTGGAACAGCGGAGCGAACACCTGAGCTTGACACGGAGATGCTGGAGAATCGTGGATGGGCTCAGCCAGCTGTGCAGCTGTCTGTGCTGACTGCATGTGCTTTAAACAGTGTCCAGCAAAAACAGTGCTTTCAGCCTGCCCTAACGCTTGTCCTTGATGGCTGCTCTTGCGGTCTCCGCACTGATCAAAACCCCACGGCTCCTCACCACCGCCAAGTTCAGGTGGGTGCCGCTAGCGCTGGCAGGATGCACGCGAGGCGTGAACAAGGGTGTTGGCGCGAGGTGCCCTCAGAGCGGCCTGCATGGGGGCAGCTGCTGAAGCGGGCGCTGCCCACGTGCCGGCAGGTGGGGCTGGCTGCGAGCTGGGTGTGGGGTCCCGGCTGTGACCTACCTGCACGATCAGCGGCCGGTCCTCGGGGCACACGTCACAGTACAAGTTCTCCTTGCGGTAGTTGGCGTCCCTGACGAAGACCTGGGCGTGCAGCATGGGCGTGTAGCACAGGTGGGCCCCGTGGCGGCGGCTCAGCAGCCTCCAGGCCAGCTCGCTCTGGTCCACCATGGGAGCCACCACATAGCGCGCGCCGCGCAGCGTGGTCCTCCAGAACTCCTCCCCGTGCAGCTTCGGCATCTTAGCCGGCCTGCAAGGGAAGTGACAGCGCGGTTCTGGAGGCCGCCAGGGGAGAGGAGCAGAAACGTGTGTGGGGCGGGGGGCAGCAACCGCGGAGCCCCTGGCGGCGGGGCGCGGCCGGGCCCGGAGCATCGCTTCCCCTGGGCCGCGGGCACGGCCGGGGGCTGCGCTCAGGCCCGGC